TTTGGGTACACCTGTAGCCTATTACCTTTACCTTATACTGCTAATAGTTTATTTAAATAAGTTTGGAGATGAGTATTTGATGCTATTAGAGACAATTGCATAACCAATAGTTTTTTCATCATGTGCGGTTAATTAACATATTTTCTTCCCTTTATATATTAGTTACCCATATAATTTATCCTTATTATATGAATATTTATAAATCATAGAAGATTATTTCGAAGTCCAAGAATCATGAGTGCATGGAGTATAAATGAAATAACCCAAAGTATCATTTTCCTGAGTCTCTGACCACTCGCCATGGCCCCTCCTCAAAAAAGAAAGCCGCATCAAGTTGTCCAGGTAAACAAATTTTCCCATCATTTATTTACCAATAGCCTGATGAAAGCTGCTGCGGACAGTTCTAATTATTAAAATTTCGAATCTTCTTTATTCTAATTACAGTTCGTTTTGTTCTTTGTATGGGAAGTTTGATTGATTATTTTGTTTCTGATTTTGATGTCTTATGATACCCTGAAAACCAAAAGCCTTAAAGTTTGCAATTTAACGATTGGACTTGGAAGTTTATGTTGGTGGAGTAGATTTAAAATTCTAGTTCTACTCAATTGCTTGATTTGAAATTTTGAATGGAATAATGGTTATTTGAAATTTTACCTTCGTTGATGGCTTAAACATGCTGTCTCCAATTATAATTGTAGCTGTTTAGTTCAGCAGGGAATAAAATTCTCTTTTTCACTATAATCAAGGTTTCTTTATTTCACAAAAAAGAGCAAACACATGGGAGGCACTAGGGGAATTGGGAAGAATGGAATGTAAAGACTAAAGACTGCTCTATATTGCAAGCGCCCACATCCGCCTGAGTGAAAGTGTTGCACAACCGTAAAAAAAGGATGCATACTTTGATATTTTGTTATAATCCTTTGGCACTTTTGATGTATTCTCTATTATTTTTTGTATTGCCTATTATTACAGGTTATCAAGATTAATACTTATACAAGTGAGAATGCATATAAATAAGCTTGGAATTGCAAAGCCTACAAAGCCTATATTCATTAAACCGGGAACACTAGGGTTTGGACAAGGACTGAGCTAGGTGCTCTCCAATAAATCTATGATGATTTCAACGTTTGCTATTGTTCGCGAAAGTGACGACAATACAGAGTTTGGTAGTTCTTTGTCCTACCATTGATTCTGAAATAGATTACTTTTATTAAGTCAAAAGTGATATAATATGATGCCAAGTGCCACAAAATACCACTCTATCTGCCACTTATGCTGGTAGTATGATGTGTAAGAAGTAGTAGGATGTTATAGATTCAATGATTTATGGTTTAGTTTTTCTAGTATTCAAATCGGAAATGTATTTTCTAGCTCTGTAATGAAAGAAAAAATCTTCAACTATTTTTAAAGGCAATATATGGTATTATCAGGAATAAGAAGCATTTTATATAAAGAATGGACCTGATAATTTTTCCCTTTTTGCTGTTAGAATATGCATTAGCAACATGAGGTCACATAATCTGGCTTTTTACATGATGCTCACGGTCTTGGCATATCAATTTAACTTCTTCCCTTAACTAGACCAGAGGAGGAGTTTAATGTTTCCATTTTCTATGCTGTATTTTCCACTTTTTTAAAATTTCATGATTTAAATCTTTTCATTTGTCTAACTAAACATCTTCTACATGTAGGACTTGCTTGGTTTGGAGGATGATGAAATTGCTCAGTTTAAGGCACTAATAGAGGAAAGGTATGCATTTTTTTATTCTTCTGAATTTCATGACAGCCTCTACACAGCTCCCTAGCTCACCCTGCCCTGGTCATTTGGATTATTGAAAAAAACACATATTGGATATAATAACTCTCTTTTTCACCATTTTCACCAGCTGAATAACTCACCAGCATACTTGTCACGGCGGTAAGTCGAGTCGCGGCGCCAGCCGACCGCCATATTGCCTAGGCGATAAGGCGCCCGCCTAAGCGACAATTAGGCGGATAGTCGCCTATATATGTATAATATAAAATATATTATATATATAATTATATATATGATTATATATTATGTATAATATATAATACATTAATGGTTTAATAGTTTATTATAAAACTAATACGAGCATATCAGTATATATCACCATTCATCAGTTCTGCACTTTATTATATAGTATATAATAAATAATAAATGAATGGTTTTATAGTTTATTATTAAACTAATAGTCTAATACGAGCACATCAAAGATATCACCGGTATAATAAATTAATGGTTTAATAGTCTATATCACCATGTTCACCGTTTTATATAATACACAATATAGAAGTATTGTAGTATATATATATACGCATTTATTGATACCACTTAATTAATTAAAATATTAAAAAACTAAATCCACTACACCGCTACACAAGAAGCCAATAAGAGATCGGTGGACCTATTTATGGTCGTCTGCTTCAAGCCTTCAACAACGGACCGGGGATGGCAACTGGAGAGACCGGCGACTTCTTCTGCTTCCTCAAGTTCTACGGTTCGTCTGGTCCTGTGAGTTGTTCTCTATGAGTCTACGACTCTGCTTCTTAAGTTAGATTTGGGCTTTGTTTCTAATTAAAAGCTTAAATCCTTAATTAAATGAGTTTACTAAAAAACTAAACCTTAATTTACTCATTTTTGGGCCTGCGGAACATGGACGGCTTTTCGACTGGGCAAAAGTAGGCGGCGACTTGTCGCCAACTTCACGCCTGGACGACGCCAACCTCGACTATTCTTCTTCCGGCGAGGCGAGCTTACCTGGCGAGCACTCTCCAGCGCCTGGACGCCTAGTCGGCGCCTAGGCGACGCCTAGGCGACGCCGTGACAAGCATGCTCACCAGTAGGGGTGGGGTGGGGGTTCTACTATTTTCTGAAGTGGTTTCAAACAATCTTACATAGATTGTATCATGCCATTATATCATTAAGATGTATAAGTTGTAGATTAACAAGTTTGAATTATGGATTCTCTCAAATATGTGAATTTATGGTGCATTCTACGTATCTTTTGTAGGTGATGCATATTATTTTATGCACTCAGACTCCATTATATTTAATCTCATGTTTACTTGTCTGTATTTTCTTGTAAATGACTTTTTAAGCTTAGTTATTTTTTAATATCAAATTTGAGGATCTGAAGGACCATTTAGAAAGCGTGTATTGAAGAAGCATAAAGTTCGAAGAATTACTTTCACAATTGCAAATGGCTTATCTATACAACTGAATACACATGCTTTAATTCGTCCAACTAATACAGGTCTGGCAATTATTACTTCAAAGTTTCATGGACCATTTATCCTTCAAGATAATTAATAGCTTAGTGATTTGTTTCTGTCACAGGGACTATAGCTTGGCTTGATTCTGTCACTAACCTTTCTGTGAAGGTAATCAACCTTATTACTTACCTGATCTTTGTCATGGACACGAGATAAATATTTATCTTTGAGAGTTTGAGATGATGAATTTAATAAACAAAATGATTAGTAGCCTCCACAGAGGGTAAGCAAAGTTGATTTTCAGAAAATTGTGCTCATTGTCTCCTTGAGTCTTTATGGGTGGGAGAGAAGAATTAAATGTTGTAATTTTCAGATTCTCCGAAGTTTCTGCTGAGAATTTGATGCCATGGGCATTATAACTCTGTTTTGCTAAGAAGTGTATTTTTCAATTTGTAGTAATTTAGTGACTATTTAATAGTGATTTATAATTACTACATTTTCTATTGATCTAGTTGTCTTAAGCCCTTTACACTACTTTTGATTTCAAAATAACTCAGGCTATTCGTTATTTGGCTGTATTTTATGCTTCATATGAAATGATGAAGGCAGGCACTTTCAATTATACAAAAAGTCAGTTTTTTATGCCAACAATTACTTACTCCCGCATTTCCCTAAAAATGAAGAAATTTAAATTGCATGATGTTCTTACTTGTTCATTATTTATTTGTTAATACTTTTGAAGTTGTTAAATATGCTAGGTTGACAAAGAGTATAACAAAGATGATGATGATGATGATGACGACGACGGTGATGATGATGATGATGATGATGATGATGATGATGATGATGATGACGATGGTGATGGTGATGATGATGAGGAGGAGGAAGAATCATCTCTGTAAATTAATCTGTTTTCGAGAAGCAGTTTGATTGATCCCATTACATTATAATGTATTAGTAACTCTAGTGAGTTTACTTATGGGGATGTAATAGATCAAATTGAAAAAATTATTTATGTAATTTCATACAAATTATTTATTTGTATTTTTTGTTATACCTTAAAGGAAGCGTTGCTTTTGAAAGTTTTATTAATAAATTTTATTGTATTTGACATTTTAGAAAATATATGAAATCTGGCACCTATTATTTTTATATTAAATAATAATTTCTACTAGAAAATATTTGTCAATAAATGCCTATTGTTTAGGTTTGTGTCAATATATGGTTGCCTCTAATAAGACAACATTTAAAGTTGCATCTAGAAGTTTTTAAAAGCAAATATAATAATGTCTCTAATAACATCTTGAGTCATTGGATATGGTTGTCTCTAATAACTTTTTGAAACAATATAAATAATTGCCTCTAATGACATTTTGAGGTGAATGTGTATGGTTGCCTCTAAACATATCTTTTTAGAGGCAGTTCTATTTTTGCCTCTAAAGAGTGTTTTTAGAGGCAACCATCATTTTGCGACGGAGTATTTGTTGGCAACCACTAAGTTGCCTCCAAAAAGCATTAGAGGCTAATTTACTATTTTTAGAGGCAAATTTAGTATGCCTCTACAAACCAATTTTATTGTGGTGTATCTACAATTTATATTTTTCGTTTATTTGTCATGTGGCGATGCCATAATTGCACCATCACCATGGAAAAATGCCTGTGTGCCATGACAACTATGGTGTTTTGTTTTTTGTTTTTCATACTAATACAAGCACAAATAGGACTTGTGATTTGTGATGGTATACTAAATCCAGGTAGATTACCTTGCAAAGGATGTGTAAGAAGCTGTCATCAGATAACCAAGACTCTTCCAACAATGCCATGGCCCCTTCCTCAGAAACATCGGCATTTTTACTGTCTTTTTGAAGCCCAAATTTCAACTGATGATATATTACTCGGACGAACTGTTCATTAAAATAGATTCTAGTTTTTAGAAGGGAAGTGTCATTAAATCAATTTCTTTTTTATAAAAAATCCATTCTTCATAAACAAACAACTTTAAAGGTCAAGCAGTAACTCAGGTTAGTAATGAATGAACCAACTATGGGTATAAGACATAGATGAACTTAAATTCCTACCTTGGTGAATAGACGACTACTTGTGTGAAGAGGCTGCAAGGAGTACAAGATTCACATCAAAAGCTTAAATTGACAGAAAATAAATACAATTATCAAGCAAAATGCTTCTAAGGAATTATACTCAATATTAAAGACATGGGGTGACTAGCATAAACGTAGAATTTGGCAATAATTTCAGTACTCACAGCTTCAACACATCCAAGCAAAAGGCTGGTGATAAGTTTCCACTGTAAATATGCTTCAAGTGACTGTCCCATCTGCCGATTAGCTCAAATTAATGCTCACAAGTCAAATTGGGAAATTCTAGAAACAGGGAAGAAGGGACATGGGCAGCTTTAAGCATACCAGAAATGCTACAAAGGAAAACTGCAATTCTCCCAGAAGTGAATCTTCATTTCCACCATACTCTTTTGCTAGAATGGTCTCCAACACATGCGTCTGCACAAATAGTATCCAAGCAAAATTATCTCCATAAACAAAAGTTTGATGGCAAATAAGTAAAATACAAAATAACAAGATAAATAAAACACCTTGTCAAGGTTCATGCTTGTAAGTTCATGCCCGGACAACCCTTTGTGTTTTATAAGACGAGGAATCGATGTGAAGTAACACCCTTTTCGTTCAGACTTTTGAGCAGGCACTGTATATGTACTACTTCTCAGCTGCTCAGCTAAAGCTTTTTCCATGGGTGTCCTTGGAATATTGCTTATGCTTTCTGGTTCAGATGATACTGTAATTTCTCCTCCAATAGGTTCTGGTATAAGAAAATAGCAGAAACCAGCAAATTTAGGCAATAAGAAAAATGAGCAGAGAATAAATAAGGCATACTGCTCACCTATCCGTTCAATGACAGCCTTTGTAATATAGTTAGATATATGTCTCCAATCTTCGTATTGGTTCAGCATGTAAGGGCCAAGTTGCCTGTCAAACTCCAATCTCCTCACAGCTTCAGTATATCTCTCTTCCTTCAAAAAACAAAAACAATAGCTATACATCCTCAAAATTGATGAACTTTGAGGAGGGGTTGGGGTTTATAAATTTTTGCAGAGTTCTAATTCTACCATTTCAATAATACGGAGTAATTGTTAATGAGAGTTGCAGATTTCTAAGTCATGCATAAAATGCTTCAGAGAGGTGGGGATGAAATGGTCAAAAGAACTTACATCTTCTTCAGAAAACTTGACAAATCTCTCCTCTTGTTTATCCCATTTCCGAACAATTACCTGTCAACCCAGGATGGGATGGGTCAAGTTTGTACAATGAAGTATAACTATATAAGATTACAGATTAAAGAACGTGAAACATTGTTGGTTACTGAAACAAAAATATTTATCTACAAGAATGGTGACAAAAAGAAGATTAAGTAGGGCAATGCCTAGGATGTTTTCAGTTGGACTACTTTCAATTTCACCAGACCAAACTAGACCAAATTTAGATAAAAGTAAAATCAACATAAATCAGACCAATTCAGAATTCAGATCATATCAACAAGATCAGACTTCATAAACCAAGTACCAAGACTAACATAAAAAGATTAAACCCCAAAATGCTTCTAACCTCTGAAGGATTCACAACTATGAAGAAGCCAATGATGGGTGAAAATGTGTTGCCTTCCCTGCATGAAGAAATCAGAAGAGTTTCCCAAGGAGTAAAGATGTTACAGACTTACAGCTATCCCTGATAACAAATTACATATAGTAACAGTAATTTTAAAGAGTACAACCAATGGGTCTAGGTGTAACTGGGGGGAAACTGGTAAGCTACACTCAGTTACTGGGTTTGAAACCCACCACACTCACCCCACATCAAGTGCATGGCTAAAGAAAAAAGGAAGCCCGGTGCATGATGGCATCCCGTGTGACATGAGGCCACAATTCATAAACATCAAGGGTTGGGGGAGGGTCCCACCACAAGAGTGTAACGTGAAGCCTTCCCTTTCCATTTTGACATGAGGCCACACCCTAGACTTGAACCCGTGTGACTCGAGGTCACACGGCAACACCTTAACCGGTGTGCCAAGGCTCCCATGCATCCCAAAAAAACAGATAAAATTAAAAATTACTATGCTTAATTAATACTCCCTCCGTCCCAAAATAATTGTCTTGTTTGCTTTAGCACAAGTTTTAAGAAAGTGGTTGAAAAGGTAAAAGTTGTTGAGATTTGAGTAGAAAAAGGTTAAAGATGAATATGAGCCATATATTATTATCAAAAGAGGAAACAACACAATTATTTTGGGACATCCCAAAAAGGAAAACAAGACAATTATTTCGGCACGGAGGTAGTATAAGAAGATGGGCGCAAAGAGCAATGGCATGTATTGATACGGAATTTCTAAAATATGTACTCTGTATAAACAAGGCAAAGGATAGTGAACATTATTTGGTATATAAGTATATAACCATATAAGCATATATTCATCCCCAGTACTGCACCCATATTTAGAACAAATGCAACTCAACATACCAAACATTTCACCCAATGGTACACAGTGTTGTCAATCCCGGATAGCGGTCGTAGCGGCCAATACCTAAAATGCTATAGCTGTATAGCATATAGCGGGATTACCGCTACTTGGACAATACATATGCAAAATACATATTATATGTATGCATATAAATATATAATTACATGTCATGCACATACCAAATCCAAGAAATGATAAATCACAATTATATTACTCTTTTTACTCAAAATCAAACATCAGGAAGTTTGTACTTACTAAATTACCAAAAAAAGGCATTAGTGTCTTAAACAAAATAAGCAAACAACTTAAGTAACTTACCTCTGGACATTATAAATTAAAAATTAAGCTCCTGATATTTCTTGATAGATTAGCAGTCATCAATACCTCATTTATAAGAAAATCATTGTTGCTGGGATGCCTTGAACTACCTTTACTGGAGATGTACGGTGTAGGTTATGTTTGATCTTAGCGTCTGTTTTGAGTTATCGTAGTAGGGTTATTCTGTCCCCCCATGTGTTTCAGAGGGTGTATTGAGGTTATTTTTTACTCTAAAAACATTTAAAAGTAAACAAATGCTCCCAAATCCCCTCAAAACTAACACTGAAGTACCCAGTAAACTATAGAGGCGCTATAGCGCGCGCTACAGCCGCTATTCTTCCCGCTATAGCGCCTGCTACTGGCGCTATTGCCAACCGCTCCGCTAAAGGCAATCTGCTACTCCGCTATAGCGGGCTATTGGCATCACTGATCCGTACAACTCACTACCAACAAAGGTATTGCACCACAACACCAGAGACAAACAGATCCGGGTTTTGTGGGAAATTAAGGAAATGCCACTATTATGCAACGCAATTTTATTTGCCAGATTCGTCCCTTTTTCCCAGGCTTTGTACGAACGAAAATTGTAAAAATGTATGCACTACAAAACTAAATACATGTCCTTCAAATGTAAAAAGAGAGTTTGCACTTAGCAAAGTTGGTTTTGACAGAAAAAAGAGAGAGAATGATAAATAAGGACTAATATAGCACATTTCCTCATATAGGACTACAATTGTTTGCTAAAATAAGATTCATTTACTGTTAATATAAAGAAGTTTTAATAACTTTTATTCTTTTATCAGGACCAAATGAGTCATAATTTTAGGAAAACGAAGAATACTACTATTAACTTCAGTCATGTTTTACTCAAGTATTTGCAGGAACTGCTTTAAAAGTTTAAGAGACCAAACCTGTTGGATGAGCTATAATAGACGAAATGAACTCCAGGAGGAATCATTTTGATTCCCTTGAAATTAGGCCCCGAAGAATACATCTACAAGCACCAACAAATTCACAGCGAAAACTCGCAAATGAAATTCATGAAAAACAAAGACATTTATTTAAGATATCTCGAACTTACTTGGGTGTCGATGCCTATGAGTGTGAACTGAGGAACGTCGAGGAAAAGTAGAGTAGCGCCATGTTTCACCAACTGTAGAGCCTCCTCTGGATCCATCTTTCTTCTCAATTAGCTCAAAGCTTCTCATTTTCTTCCTCCATTCCGAAACTTCTGTTCAGAACCGTCTTTAGCATTTTAGACCACGGTAGTCAAACTTTAGATCCTATATAGGAACGAAAGAAGAACTAGAGATCGTAAGATTGTGACTTGGATCGTAAGACCTGGTTAAAGATAAAAGAGTCAAAAAAATTAAAGATGATTAATCGAGTGTAGTGGAGGATTAAAAGGGGGTTAATTGATGGAGAGAAACATTTAATAATTTGGACTCCTAATCACTACAAATGATTAATATACTACATGTTCGATTTGAATAAAAACATGTGGATATACCTACCGTGGATCTAAATGAGAAAAAAGAACGAAAATGCTTAAGGTACATTGGATGTACACAAATTGTACATCATGTAAAAGGCCAAAACTAGATTTTTTACCCCTCTCTCCCCCACGTGCGAACCTCTTCCCAAAACTCCCGCCTCTCCACTTCTTTCTTCCTCACCGTTTTTTCTCGTTCTCTGCGCATATATCCCCCACGGCTTTCTTCTTCTTCGCCTCTCCAGTCTCCACGTCCATCCCCTGAAGCGTCTCTTCTCGCACACACCGTCCTCGTCGTGAAGCATCCCCGGTCTCCTGGCGTGACTGCGAAAGTCGGCGTCCACCCTCAAGAACCCACCGGTGAAATGGTGTGTACGTCACTGACATCTTTGGTTGAGGCTTCAAAGAGAAGGTAATAATCACTTCTTGAATACATTTGTGAGTAGTATTGTTGAAATTAACCCCCTATTGTGTGGTTTGTGTTGTTAATTTTTTTTATTTTGAAATCATTATGGTATTTCGAAAGTTACGCTTGAAAAATGAGTTTGATGAAGTGAGAATTTTGAATTTGTTTGCGCGATCGAGGGATAATGTATGTGGTCAGACGATTTAGGTTATACAATTTATTATGATGGAAGTCGTTTTCTGTATTACATTTGACTTGATTTGTCTGTAGTTTGATGTGTTGTTTGTCTTCCTTGATAATAAATAATTTTTGTAATCAACAGGGTATTTTCTAAGTATACACTTAAATTATTGAATTGATGAACCTAGAAGGGGTTTGGGGTTCATTTTGTAATATAAGTGTGTACACAGGTCTGTACACATTATTTTGGATTATGAACATTTCTGGGAGATTGAAATATAAGGTCTGTACACAGGTGGTTTGGGGTGTAGAGTTGAATCTGTTGTAACTCATTAGTGTGTAAAAAATATGACTTCATTTGTGTTATTCGTAGGATGAAGCATCAACTAGTGGTTCTCGTTAAGTCCCATTTCTCGGCCCAGTATTCTCTGTGCACATATTTTGACAAATTGAGAAACTTGTTGGACTCCATGCCCATCGGTCAACGGGAGTTGTTCAAGAAGCTTGCATGGGGTCATTTTGCTAACACTCCAAAATTGCAATTTTCTGGCTTGATTGTTCATATGTTATTGTTGTGGCTGGTTCGGCAACAACTCGTGGATGAGCTTTGGTTTTCCATAAAAGGGAAGATCTTTAAGTTCACTTTTAAAGATTTTTGTGAAATAGCCAACCTGCCGCATACACCACGAGACCCACTTTTGTTAAAAAAAAAGGTAGTGTGGCAGATATATTCTTTAAAGGAAACAAGTGTGTGACGTACCAAGACTTGAACGAAACAATGGAGGCATTGAATCCAATGAAGAGGATTGACCCGTTAGCTTTTGTCAAGTTGGCCTCCTTTTTCGTGCTTGATGGTGTGTTGCTGACTAGAGACCACGACACAAAGATCAATCGTGATCATTTTGATTGGGTTGAAGACTTTGAGAACTTCCAAAAATATCCTTGGGCACTCGAGTCTTATAACCTTATGGTTAGCAATATAAAGTCATTGATGTGTGTGTGGTCAACAGGAGAAGTTTGAAGCTTCGTAGCTAAGAATCCTGACTACAAGAACACTAAGTTCACAGTTTGGTCTTTACCCCACGTGTAGGAGGTTGGTTTTAACTTGGTTTGTCTTTTTCGCAAATCGTCTGTGTCGCAATCTGAATTTGTATGTGGCCGGACACTTGATTAACTATTTTTTGGTTGTTTATACAAGTTTGGGCGTTGTTACCCCTGCCTAAGGTTAACTAGGAGATTGTGAGTCACCCCTGCCTAAGGTTAAGTTTTTTTTGGAAAGATGCCCAAGGTTAAGTTGTTACTAGTATCTTGACATAACAGTGCATCTGTGTAGAAAGTTGTTTACTATTTCGTGCAGATCTGTAAACATCTTATTTATTTCGTTTTGTAGGATGATGCATTCCTGGATGAAGAAGTGATTGTCCCAACACCTTTTCAAAATGTGGAATGGGAGGATCTTCTTGAAGATGATGTTGAAATAAGCAAACCCCAACCTACTAGAGAGGAAATGAAGAAAGGAAAGAGGTTCGTGTCCAAGTATCATAGCAGTCCTTTTATGGATCCATGTGCTAAGCGGGTGAAGCCGAGTCAACATGGAAGAGGGACAGAAGTTCAGGAAAAAGAAAGTGTTCAATGAACTCAAGACTTGGGTGGAATCCCCTGCTACTAACGAACCAGTTTGTGTGATGTTAGACATTCCAGGTTGTATTAGTGTTGATAAAAAGTTCTTCCGCAACCTGATAGACAACCACGAAATGCTAAGCAGTGTGGTAAGTGTACAATTATATTCCCACAAAAACAATATTACCAAGTGCATGTTTCCACAGACATTGCTCAGAAATGCATGTGTCCACAGACAATTGTATCATTTACTTTAATCACTTCCTTGCAGGACATTGATGCCCTGACCAACTTGTTGAAGAGTCGGAGAATTGAGGGTCAACAATCTGAATTGGTGTCCCTGTATTTCGAGGTAATGTCTAAAATCCACTTCTTATGGTGTTCATGTCTCTCTCATTACTATTAAACAAATATGTGTTTGCTTAAATGTAGAATCAATTGATGAGGAAAAAATTTGACAAACCAGAAGATTGGAGTGGAGATAGGTTGTTGAAACGCATTGACTGGTGTGGCTTGTCGAAGGTATGACCTATTACATATATTGTGTTCTCCACAGACAATTGTATTGTTATTGCATGGCTACACAGATAGTTTGAACAATGGTTTATTCATTGACAGGTATTCATTCCATTGAATATTGAGGATAAATATTGGATCTTGTGTGAGGTAAATTTGGAGGAGGTTGTGGTTGAAGTATATGATTGCTTAAAGACTTCCTGAAGTGCGTGGTATGCATTTCAATTGTGCATGAGGCTTCCTTATCTACTCCAAGAAATTTAACATGGACTACCACGACCCTTACACCTAAGACCATGGGAGGCTGTGGTTGTTGATAGGGTTCCGCAACAATCAATAGGGTAAAAATTATTTGTTTGAAAATATTATGATTATGGTGTTTGATGAACATGTATTCGTATAGGTGTTTATCAATGTATTCTCACTTTTGTGCATGTCTGGAATATGCGATGTTATGGTTATGGCGTTTGGTGAACATTTGATGCACAGCCTCCCCTTAACATCCGGGTGTGAGTACGACACCTCCACAATACGAACCAACTTTGCATTACGCCTATATCGTTTGAGGAAGATTGCATAGAACATTGAAGAATAAATGAGGGTTGTCCATATATATATTTTTGTCCATTTAATTGATGGGAAGAAACACTTGAACCAAAGTACTTATTTTTGTTGCTACAATTTTCTCATTATATGCCTTGATATACATATGTTTGTTTTAAGGATTACAACAAAAACATATACATGCCTCGAAGTAGTTATATATGTAGTATATGCTTATGTTTATTATGTAATCCTTAAACCAAACATATGTATATCAGGGCATATAATGAGAAAATTGTAATAACAAAAATAAGTACTTTGGTTTAAGTGTTTCTTCCCATCAATTACATGGACAAAAATATATATATGTGGACAACCCTCATTCATTCTTCAATGTTCTATGCAATCTTCCTCAAATGATATAGGCGAAATGCAAAATTGGTTCGTATTGTGGGGGTGTTGTCGTACTCACACCCGCGTGTTAAGGGAGGTTGTGCATCAAATGTTCAGCAAACACCATAACCATAACACCGCATACTCCAGACCTGCACAAAAGTGAGAATACATTGATAAATGATAAACACCTATACGAATACATGTTCAAACAAATAATTTTTACCCTATTGTTTGTTTCGGAACCCCATCAACAGCCACAACCTCCCATGGTCTTAGGTGTAAGGGTTGTGGTAGTCCATGTTGAATTTCTTGGAGTAGCTAAGGAAGCCTCATGCACGATTGAAATGCATACCACACTCTTCGGGAAGTCTTTAAGGAATCATAAACTTTAACCACAACCTCCTCCAAATTTATCTCACACAAGATCCAATGTTTATCCTCAACATTCAATGGAATTGAATACATGTCAATGATTAAACCATTGTTCAAACTGTCTATGTAGCCATGCAATAACGATACAATTGTCTGTGGAGAACACAATATATGTAATGGGTCATACCTTCGACAAGCCACGTCAGTCAATGCGTTTTAACAACTTATCTACACTCCAATCTTCTCACTTGTCAAATTTTTTCCTCATCAATTGATTCTACATTTAAGCAAACACATATTTGTTTAATAGTAATGGGAGAAACATAAACGCCATAAGAAGTGGATTTTAGACTTTAACGCGAAATACAGGGACACCAATTCAGATTGTTGACCCTCAATTCTCTGACTCTTCAACAAGTTGGTCAGGGGATCAATGTCTTGCAAGGAAGTGGTTAAAGTAAATGATACAATTGTCTGTGGACACGGGCATTTTTGAGTAATGTCTGTGGAAACAGGCACTTGGTAATATTATTTTTGTTAGGAATATAAATGCACTTAGTCATATTTTTTACACACTAATGAGTTACAACAGATTCAATTCTACATCCCATGCCACCTGTGTACAGACTTTATATTTCAATCTCCCAGACATGTTCAAAATCCAAAATAATGGCCACTTAAGAACCCCAAACCCCTTCTAGGTTCATCAAATTCAATAATTTAAGTGTATACTTCAAAAATACCCTATTGATTACAAAAAAAATTATTTATTATCAAGGAAGACAAACAACACATCACAAACTACAAACAAATCAAGTCAAATGTAAATACAGAAAACGACTTCCATCATAATAAATTGTATAACCTAAACCGTCTGGCCACAGACATTATCCCTCGATCCCCCCCAAAAAATCAAAATTCTACAA